GGTGTGTAGATGCTGTATTTATGGGACATGTTTCCATTACATGGAAAAGGTGGACTATGTCTGACTTTTAAAAAATCCCATGTACTCTGGGAGATAATTCCATAGTAAGTAATCAATCTTTCATAGTTAGTAATCTCTTTCTACCTTGGGGGTGGGAGGAACAGACTGCCACACTGGAGGTGCAAGCTTAGGTACACTTGCACAGGAGCATGGTTCTGAGGAGACATCTGTACAATTTACCTAAGATGCCTTAAATCACACCAGGCTGATATGACCAGGAGAGATCAACCACCAAGTGAGGGCTAAGGGAGTATGATTATGCTTAAGTAACTCTTAATTTCAGCATGCGGAAATGAGCATCCTGTGGCCAATCAAGCTTGGTGCTGGTGGCTGGAACAAACTTTCATGCTTCCTTCTTTTTTAGTACAGTGGTACCTTGGCTCAAGAACGCCACAGTTCACGACCAAATCAGGTTGCGAACAGAAATTTAGGAAAAAAATTTCCTCAGGTTGCGAACTCCGCATCGGGTGATGATCGCAATCGCACGATCGCGCCTGCCTTCCCTGTGATTAAAAAAAAAATTTACAGAACGGATTAACTTTATTTACATTGAACCTTATGGGGAAATTTGACTTGGCTCACGACCAATCTGGGTCATGACCAGAGTCATGGAACAGATTAAGTTTGTGAGCCGAGGTTCCACTGTATATTCTGGAGGCAGACAGCTGAGCATGTACCGTATTTTTCGCTCTATAAGACGCACCTGACCATAAGACACACCTAGTTTTTAGAGGAGGGATCCATGGAAAGCTTCCTGATAATCACAGGCACATTCCCCATCACTTCCCCATGGGCTTCATTAAAAGACGGGTTGCCATTTGAAAACACACACCGACCGGTGATTAACAGCTCTCACCTACACTGGAGGAGGGGGGCAGAGCAGGGCGCGCCAAGCGCGTGCCGGCCAGGTGTGGTGCAGCCAGGCCGGCAGCATGCCGGCGGTGGTCTTCCAGGCAGCGCAGCGGTGGCGGCAGCTCTTCCCGGGCAGTGGGGGTGAGCAGTCCATCTCTCTGTGCAGCCGGCGGGTTAAAGCCCGTGGCTCCTCCTCCGCACCGCTCCCCCTGAGCGGCACAGCTCTCATCTGTGCCAGAGGGGGAGGCGGAGCAGGGTGCGCTGAGCACGTGCCGACCAGGTGGTGCCACGTGGTGCAGCCGGGCCGGCAGTGTGCCAGCGGTGGTCTTCCGGGCGGTGCGGCGGCAGCAGGTCTTCCTGGGTGGTGGGGGTGAGCAGTCCGTCTCTCCGTGCGGCCGGCGGGTTAAAGCCCGCAGCTGCTCCTCCTCCGCGGCAGGTCTTCCCAGGCAGTGGGGTTGAGCAGTCCGTCTCTCCGTGCGGCCGGCGGGTTAAAGCCCGTGGCTCCTCCTCCGCACCGCTCCCCCTGAGCAGCACAGCTCTCACCTGCGCTGGAGGGGGGGCGCGGAGCAGCGCGCACCGAGCGCGTGCCGGCCAGGTGGTGCCATGTGGTGAGGGGAAAAAGTGCGTCTTATAGAGCGAAAAATACGGTAGGTGGTGCTAAAAGGTGCTCATCTGTTTAATTTTAAAGTTTTCATTTTTAAACTATTATTTGTTTGGAGTATTTTCGCCCCACTCATCAGCCAAAAAGACTCCTGGAGCAGCTTGATAATAATCAGTGATAATTATATTTATAATTATGAATTATAATATAATTAATTAATCTGTAATAATAATTGCAGGCTTGCAATCTAAATCAACATGAAACACAAGGAGAAAGATAGGGAGGGATGAAGAAAAAGTTAGGGGTACAATCCTAGTGTTTGCAAGGGATTTTTAGTCCTTTTAGAAACTAAATATGTTTGCCCCACCCTCAAGATCCCTACCCCACTAGCTGTGCTTCTGTTGATCTACTCTCTACCGAACTAGTAAGATTGTCTACAAGCCACCAGTGCGCGCGCACGTGTGTGAGAGAGAGAGAGAGAGAAAGTAAGCAAGAGAGAGATCTGTCTTGGAGTAGGGCTAGGCTATTAAATAGCTTTCATAGGTTATTGATACAGACAGGCCGGTAACATTTTCTAAATGCAGATAACAGGACCAGCCTGTTTCCCTGACTTCTGCTGCATCCTAGATGCCACTTGCCAGGCCAAACAGTAAACAGCAGGGGCTGCAAAGAACCTCGATTTTTCTGTCTATTCTATAAACATTGTTACGAGTGCCACTGTTGCACTTGTACAGGTAAGCTGAGTCTGAATTGTACCCGGTTTTAATAAAGCTTTCCAGTGATGACTTAGGATAAAATAATTTACACAGCCACCCAAGACTCAAATATTAGCAGCCTCTCTAATCTGATTTTCATTCTTAAGAAGTCTGAGTCTTCTTTACATGCATTTGCATGCATTTTGTGATCGACTCCACAGGACTGCTGTTCAAATGCCATGGCCATTGTAATCAAATGTGCCATTATGCTACATTTTGCAAGTGCTCCATTTTACACATTATGTTACATTTTAACTTAGGTCAGTGATACTTGGGGGAACGTGCAGGAAATGGAGCTTGCCTAGGAGGAGGTTAACAAGCAGTACACTCAGAAATACAGGTGTGGGGCACTGAGAAATAGATGCAGGGCCTGAGCCCCGTGCTTGTACTGCTTAGCACTCCATCACCTCATCTTCTTCAGTAAGTTCCTTTTCTGCCCTAATCCCGAACTCCTCAGACCTTGTAATCACTCTGCTGGAATTCACCAGTCGCCAAGTGGCACTAAACACAACCATATTGTATCTGTCCTGGGCTCCCACCCATAGGCCTGCCAAAGCTCTTGGCCTTATTGCTTAAGACTATGTTAGCAATGCATAGTCAATCTACTTCCTCTCGGACTTTGATATAACAGACAAAATAGTCAGTTTCTTATGTCCTTAAATCCTACATTAAAAATACAAACGGAATAGCTAAATGATGATGTCTTTCTCTATGCCTTTCACTACATCTGCTTGACAATGATACCTCCCTTCAGCTCTTCCCCCACACTTCTCTCCCCATCTGCCTTAAATATCCATTTTCCACCTTTATTACTACAGCATTGCCAAAAATTATCCAGATTCGATTTTTAAGTAGAAGCTAGCAATTTTATGGGAACAGATTTTTCCCCTGACAAAATGTAATTAAAACTACATGAAAGAAGAAAAGAAAAATCTAATCCAGACAATTTTTGTTGTTCCCCTAGGTAGTGATGTTCAGTGCCAGACAACTCCAAACCCCAGCTGCTGGGATGATGTCATAACACTGCACAGCCAATCAGATGTAACTGCATACTACATCACTGTGTACAAATGCATCCTGGTTAATGAGTCAGTAAACATTTTCATGAGGAATGCTGGGATATTGCTCAAAAGATTTTTGCTTTTGTTGATTCCACCCCAACCCAAAACATCAAAAAGTTGCATGTTTGCCTGTATTGTGATTCTGAAGGAGAGTTTGAGTATCAAACTGATGTTTCTCCAAACCATATGGAATTATTTGATATATTCATACACTTGTATAATTCTGAAAGCATAAAGTGTGTGCATGTTTAGAATAGGAACAGTATTTACTACAAAGGAAGCTAAGTGTATAGCCAGACCTATTTCTATCAACTGCTATTTCTTTACATTCTGCTTGATTTAATCTATACTTTTCTGAGGCTTTATTGACTCGCTAAGTCCAATGAGAAGGCTAATCCATTTGTGTTAGCAAGGAAAGAAGACCTTTGACTATCAAAAGATTATTTTCCACAGCACTCACATCCTAATGCTTGCAAGGAATGCCACATTCTGTTACCAAACATTATTTAACAAAGAATGAATAAGTAGCTTACCAGCTCATACAAAATACTCCAGGGAAACCTGCCCAAATAATTCCCATGAGCTTCTTCACAGCAATGTTTTACACTATGCCTCAATTTCATGATCTTCACAAAACCGCACAATATGTAAATCCTAATTGTAAATCCAAATCCTCCTTCACAGGGCACCCAAGGCCAGAAGTATAAAAGTGGCACCTTGATCAAGTCTTTTCTCCCTGGCCTTCATTTCCCTTAAAGTTGCTTTTCCTATTTACCATCTAAACCTCATGAAAGCTATTACAAAAACTAAAGCTGTCTAATGGACCAGTGTGTTTCAGGGGCTAAAATGTGATGGGCTTGAATGTGGAAACAAGATCCAAATCTGTCATGCTTTGGTGTCTTTGGAAAAGGCTCTCAACCAATAGATGTCAGGTTAAAACATCACTCCAAGCTTGTGGAAGAAAGGAAGCAGGGAAAGAAGGAATATGTAACAGATAATCCACATATAAGAAACATGGAAAGAAAATATATTTATATACAAGTTCCAAAAATAGTTAAAAATATTGAACAGGCTGGAGCTGTTCAACGCAAAACACTCTCCTGCTGCATTTTTGTAGCAGCAGCTTCTTACTTTCCACACAGAGGAGACCCCTGACATGGCCAGAGGAGGTAGGGGTGGGAAAAAGCAGAATCTTTTGTGACCATAATTTTTCTGTCTAGCTCCTAGAACCACTACACAGGCAGTTTCAACCACACTGCAAATTAAAATAGTTTTCCATGAACATTCAAGACTGTATCCCATTTTTCCAGAGTTCCAGTACGGGATATGTCCATGCAGGAAGAGCTGTCCTAGAAACTCTGTGTCTATTAGGTTCTTGCAAATGGCTTGATCTACAGGTTTGGACCTTTCCTTCTATATTGTTCTCAAGGCACCAATTTGATTGCTGTGGGTGTCACGGGAGGAAGGATGAAAACTTTAATTCCACATATCACAAAGAGAGACAACTACCTTTCCCATGCTACACTTCTGCCTCTCGGCTGACTTGCTGCTAAGCACGTTAGTCAACTGAATCTTCCAGCAGGGACCAGCACACCTGTGATGGGCAAGCCCCAGGACTCAATTCTGACACAGTGCAATGCCTATTCAGTGCCCCCATATAGTCCCCCCTACCTGCAAGTGGTTGAGGGGCTTCTCCTGGTAAAGTGCGTCATCTCCAATCCCCCTGGTCTCGTGCCCTGCCTCGGACGGGATCCCATAACTGGTGCAACGTTCATAGTGGACATAGGCATACTGGGGAGCACCGCCCCACAAGGATGTGTCCTTTGTGGTGGCATCTGTCTTGTCCTTGGCAAGTTCCATAGCACGATGCTCAACTACTGCTGGCGTGCGGCAAAGCTGTTGCGGGGCAAAGACCAGGCCCCACTGGCTGATCAGCCCAAGGCATGGCCTCTGCCTGCCTGCCTTCCTCCCCTTCCCTGTTCCTTATGGCTTTCTCACTTTCTTTTCTTCCTGCCCCCAAGGGCGCCTGGGGCAGTGATTGGAGGACTTGGCTATATTTATAGCAACTTTCTTCTGTCACATGACTCCCCCAAAGCCACATCTGATCTGAGCAAGAGGCATTAACTCGGCCAGGATTGAATATCAGGTGTTACAGGAGGGAACCCTGAAGGAGAGGGGGTGGGGACAAGAAGGCAGCAGCAAGGGAGATGGATATATGGCACATGATCAAACATTTGGATGCTTGTAGGATGGGACTCAAATTCTCAGTTCGTGTTAGTGGGTTTGCCTCTCTCCATTATTTATACTATATGAGCTGAATTGTTTAATTAAGTTATTGCCAGTTCTTGAGAATGACACTATCTGAAGGCACTGGCTACAAAAGTCTGAGGAATGGCAGAATTTAAGAATACAAGAACTTTAAGCCCCCTTGTATCTGTTGAGAACTCTGCTGCTTATTTCTCTCTGAGTAATCCATCACTTAAATCCCAACAAGGGTTTCCTGTCCATGCCCAAACTTAACACAAACTCATTGTTATCAGCTTCAAAGCCTTTTCTCCCCTTATCTCATTGCTCCTATAGCCTGGATAACTGTGATCTTGACTTTTCCAACTCTACCTCCCTAAAACAACTCCACCCTTTCTTACTTGCTGCTGTTCTTTATGGCACCTGAATGCTCTTCTGGAACTCCTGGCATGACTTCACCTCAGACTTACTCTCTCTGAATCCTTTTTCCATAGAACTTTTTCCATGGAACTTTTGGCACCCTCTAACCCCCGCACCCTGCTCACCTTAAGTCTAAATATGTGTAACTGAAAAATGCATGTTCTTTGTCTGTTTATCTCTGTTTCTTTTTCCTTCCCTTTCTTGCTTGTGTCAAATATTTTAGGCTTATAAGGCACAGATCTTTCCATTGGTCCTTTGAAAGCACCATTAAGTTCACCAGTTTGTTTCCTATAGCAGACAGTGGGATTCATCTAGAAAGGTGGCAATCAGGATATAGATGTGATCACCCTCCCACACCTTTGCATCTGGTGTTCAGCAACTGGCATGTACTTCCGCTCATGGAGGTTCTCTTTGACTGCAACCACTAATCACAGTTTAGTCCATTGATCTGTCTGATTCTTTTATCTAAAACATGCCTGAGCTAGTGACCATCATGTCATCTTGTGGGTTTGAATTCCAAAAGTTAATTGTTCATTTCATATACAGTGGTTTCTTTTGTATATTCGTATATCCGTATCTGTTGTAAGCCGTCCAGAGACGACAGTAATGGACGGCACACCATTTTTTAAAATAAATAAAATATCCTGACTCTCTTGTCAATTCAGTTTCACGGGGTGATTCTGGGTTTTAATATAAAAAGTGAGAAAAATTGTTTTCCCTTCACATGCTTGATGGGCTATGCTCTGTGACAGCTTTAGAGAAGGGTCAGACAAATTCATTAGGAGGGATGTATGTTCAGACCCTGGATGTCTCTGAGGGCTCTTCTACGTAAGGCTGTTAATCAGCTCTGTCACAAAACTGAGATCTCAGTGCTACACAAGGAGCATTTCCCTTCCTGCTTTTCTGGCACTTGACCTCTAGCTGGCATTGTGGTGTAACAAAACAGTGCAATTATATAGGAGGAAACAACATTTTCTTTCCACCATCAGAAATAATACCCCATTTTCTCTGTTCAAAAAGAAAAAAAGTACTGAAAGTGGTAGCTAGACACAAGAGTGTAACTGGAGGATCCAGGTTCTAGTCCCTACTTAGCCATGAAACTTACTAGCTGACTTTGGTCCAGTCACTTGCTCTCAGCTTGACCAACCTGACAGGGTTGTTGTGAGGATAAAATGGAGTGAAGGAGTATTACATATGTAAGCCACCTGGGGCTTCTTGCAAGAGGAAAAGGAGAAGGATATAAATGCAATGTAATAATACTAATATTAATACTAATAATAACGTATGTCTGAAATTATTTAGTCCTCCTCTAGAACAAATACATACATCTGCCAATTTGTGGTTAACACTTCATGCATTTGATGAAAGCAGTTCTCATGAAAGCTTATGCCAAAATACATGTTGTCATCTTTAAGGTGCCACAAAACTGCTGTTTTTGTGTCTTGGCAATCAGGGGAGAACTGCCTTGAAGCACCAGATTCTGGATCTCCAATTAAAGCAGTGGTACCTGTTTACATTGTTACTTGCTGCTTGCCTTAAGATTTAACTGTGTGGAAGCCACTGTGTTATCTGGATTCTCCCTTGGTCTTCCGCTAAATGCCACAGCCAGGCAGGGACTGACACACCAATCTGCCTAGTTGTGAGAAAAACGAGGAGCACATTTTTTTCCACACTGATGGCCCACTGACAGCTCTTAAATCTGATTGTGGCTTGGTCTGTTGTAACTGCAGCAATTTGAATAGCAATTAATAGGAAGAAAAGAGGAAGTGCATGTGAGACCCCAGACCATCCTGCAAGCGGGAATTGTGTGCAGGGAAAGAAGATGCATCTGCCCATGAGCTATTGTCCGCATCTCTTTTTTTGATCTTCAGGTAGCAAGGAGAAAATAACTCAAAGGCAGTGGCAACACCAGAAAAAAAAGCTTGGAGCAAAACACAGAAGAGGCAAAATGTATTTCTCTGAGAATGAGGTTGGTTCCCACATGTCAGCTTTCAGAAAGAGAGAGAGAGAGAGAGAGAGAGAGAGAGAGAGAGAGAGAACGTACGTTGGCAGCACGTGGGAATGACCTGCTTGTCTGCAGACAGATTTACCTCCTGGTTGACCACTCCTGTGGTGCGGCCTCCTGTGCATAAAGAGCAAGAGAAAAAAGCCTCCAACTCCAGCGGCTTCAGCAATACGAGCAGCAAGCTTTCCAGACAGACATACTAATTAGTAGTGTACTCAACGAAGCTTAAGTATTCAGAGCTATCTAACTTGAAGAAGATAAACACTCAAAATAGGGGAAATCTGGGTAAGTGTTGCATTTATTATATCTGCTTCATACTCGAGCAGCCCATGCACTCTTGGGAAAGCAAAAGAAAAAACATTAGCACACACTGCGTTCATGGCATTCTGTTTTTAATAGCAAAGTTGCCACATCTGTGCTGTGTGAAAACAAGACCTTCTACCTGTTCACATCCTTCTTATGCCTATTGGCAGCCAGGGCGTCCATCATCTACTGCACACTACATTTTAATCGGAAAGGGCTTTGTCACTGACTGATCTCCGTCAATGAAGGATCACAGCATTCTGCACCCACTCAAATATGTCTGTGTGATGAAATCATTGATGGCAAATAAGTCTTTTCATTACCTTGACTTTTCAATCAGGTGTATGTGTGTTGGGTGGGGGAGAGACATATTGCCCAGGAAATAGGCCAGTGCTCCCAGTCTTGCGTCAGCGTGTTGGCAGCTTCAACAGCCGGCTTTGCACTCACACCCAAATCCAACTCTCGTTACACACGGTTGATGGTGACTGGTTGGGGCAAAGTGTGGACCAGAATGAGCACTTGATCAGATATCTGTATGTGCCTTCCATTGAAGGTGATGATGTGGATGCGTGAAATCCACATCTGGGGGTGTGTCAGAGTATACAGCTCTGATCTCTCTCTGCTGGATTGCTTTCATAGGTATGCACATTTGGATGTGTACCTTAATGTGCACTCTGAGCCACGTTCTGTTCCAACTAGTTCACTGCATATGCCTCGAGAGGGATGAAAGGGGACTGGCCCAGTTTCCTTGATGCACTTTCTTCTTCCACACAGTTGTCCCCTTGTAAACAGGTTGCACTCTGTTTACAAGAGGCTGCAAGAAAATCTCCAGGGCAGGGCAGCCCATTTCACATATGGAGGGCAGGCAGACCAAAACGTTTATTGAACATCCTTCCCAATTTTGGCCACTACTAAAAAGCATACTTTTTAATACAAGGAGCATGTGTGTGAGAGAGTAAATTCACTCTGTATCTGGTGTATAGATACATATTCCAAACTGATGCTGGAAACTGTTCCTCCCTCAAACACAGTCCTATGTGTGAATGATCAACAGCCTAATATGACATTCCATGGGTGGATTTGTTTGTTCTGTGCTCTTGAATCTGACTGTGCTTTTGGATCTGTGCTCTTGGATCAGATATAAAGATGTCCCATGTTCAGACTTTATTTCAGGGACTATAGTATGGCTTTGTTTTGGTTTTATTTCAGGTATTATTTTGGGTTGGTTTTTTTTTTTTGATAACCTAGAAGCACATTAGTAATATACGAGTTTACCTCATATTGCTTATTTCAAATGGGAAACATAAGCACTGAATATTCAGGCTTTTCTGTGTCTTGAGCTATGTCTTTCTGAATGTCAATTTTCTGCATTATTCCAAGTGTCATAACCACTTTGGTATATATAAAAAGTGAAGAAGCTTCCACATAACCTAGAAAGCTGCAATTTTTGCACACATATAAGCCAAGATGCTTTAGATGTTAGGGAAAAAAACAGACAGAGGAAGGATGGAAGGAAGGAAGGAAATTGGCTATTTTAGGAGTCTTCCCTCAAAACGGGGATCGAGAATACCTCATAATAATTTCTGTATCACCAAGCAAACTGAAATTGGTTCACACCTAGCGCAGGTATGCTGGAGACTTGATGGGAAAGAAAAGGGTGGAGAAAGTGGGGAGCTCACCTGAAACTGATGCTTCCTCTGGGCAGCCATACCTTGCCTGATTTCTCTTTCTGCCTTCAAGTCCAATTCTCCCTACTTCTGCCTGGGTCACAGGATAATAAAGCCACCCATTCAGACCTGCTGCTCTAATATAGTTCTCTCTCCCTCTTATGCCCCCTCCCTTTCTCACCTGCTTCAGCATGAGGGCAAAAACACAGAGACTTCTGGCC